TCTGATAAGATAGGCAAACAATAAGAACAGTTAATTCAGAAAACAAATGACAAATGATTATTAAACTTAGTCAACTCAACTTTGGTTCATAAGATTAGGTGAAACTTGATACATAATGATGTTATTTTCCATATATTGTCAGAGATTTATAATATTCAGTGTTGAGTGGTAGACCAGTGATTCACAATAACATGTTTAATGAGGTCCCCTTAGTGACCTGAGATGAAATGTATAGATAATGTAAGCAGCTCACACACATAATTAAAAAAATATTTAATAAAACAAAAGGAAGGTAATTTATGGCAAAATAACTTATTTCAATATATAATTTTTCTGCTGTGATCATTAAAATATAAATAAGTTAGGATTTAAGAGAAGTAAGAAGACTAGAAGCCATTCTACAAAGTAAGTAGCGGAAAATAAAAAACAGGTGGTATAAGGGGATATTAGAATAAAACCTAGTATTGGGTTAGTAATAACAGACCAAACTTATTTGTATATGATAAGAGACTGAGACAATAGCTTTAATTGAAGAAAGGATAATATGCGAAGGTAAATTTTCAACTGAGCGGAAGTGGTATTCTCACAAATGAGCCATGCCTTATTTATTTATTTATTTTGGGTCAAAATAATTCTCTGCTGGGATGTGGGAGAGGGTGGTGACAGAGTAAATTGTAAGATCCAGTTCTCATTGACACCAAGTCAAACAGAAGTTCTCTCTTACCAGTAATATACTTGAAAATGTAGTGAATGTAATTAGACTTAACTTTTTTTTCTCTGTTTGATGGGTACCATGTAAAACAGAATATATTAAAATTCCTCTAATTTTAGGTCAAAAACCTTGTACTCGAAAAGAGTGTATGTATCTTTGTGTAAAGTTATGAATTTTGTGTATTCCAGTGTAATAGATCCTATGCTAGTGTATCTCATGCATCTTGTCTAACAAAGTCTGGTGGTTCCATACAAAGTGGTACACAGAATTGTCACAGAAAGTTCTAAATGGCCTGAAGGAGCTGAGTTCCAGTGTCCTAACTTCTGTATTTCTTTATAAATAAGTTAACGTGTATAATGTAAGACTAATTTTTGGTACAGTTGTGTCTTAGTACAATGTAGAGGTAGTTTAAAAATATATTAGAAGTGATCTTAATTTCAGATTGATTTTGTTTATTTTTTGAGAATTAGTGATAATATAAATATTAAAATATGTGGGCAAGGAAGTGTCCTTGTACAGGTAATACATATAATTGGAGCTCTGTTAAGATGTACTACTGATAGGTACTGGTGATTTGGCTGGACAGTATCTGTATTTTTGAGAGTTATCTGTTAAAATTTAAGAATACACATTCTGTTGGGCCTAGAAATTCCACTTCTTGATACCTGTCAGAGAGATATTTATTGTACAGAAAAGAAATCTTCAAGAATGTTGATTGCAGCATTGCAGTATTTTAGGAAAATGATAATGAAAAGGAAACTAAATAATGGAAATTCATTTCACAGAATATTATGAATTAAAAGGAATGTCTTGATGTAGAAAGATCTTTAAGGCCAAATTAAGTAAATAAAGGAAATATGTATGAACCTATTTACGTAGAACAGCGCCAACAGAAAATACTCTGTGGTCGCATTTATGTAAAATAGCAACAATAAGCAAAACTATAGTCACAACCCTATTTCTGTATATAAATATATTTTGTGGAAAGTTACATATCAGCAGATAACTATGGCTACCTCTGGGGAGGAGAATGGAATGGGTCCAGGGAAGGAGGACTTTCACTCAGGGTGTATCACTTCAATTTTGTATGAGTAAAATGTATTCATATATATATATATATATATATATATATATATATTAAGTCCCAGCTGAGTCACTTTGTTCATCTTTCAGTTTTGTGAGCTCTGTAGAGCAGGGTTGATGCTGTAATATGAACTTGTTGAAGATTCACCAAGAATTTTATGATATTTTGTCAAAAGACAGGAAAAGTCTGAAACAGGAATTTAATAACCTTAATAACCTAGCAAACTTGTTCTGGCTAGGTTATGTGATGAGGATGCATGATAATTGAGTTATTGAGAAGCTATTAAGTGTGAAATAAAGTGGGGCAGTTACAAAATGAAAACAATAGGCCCTGCAGAATAAAGTAAGGTTTTATTCCATTTTGGGGTATCAGTAGCTTACTGATACATTGGGTGGGACAGTTGTTAGGCACAGGATGATTCGTTTTAAATTACAGAGCTGATTTCCAACTGTTTGAGGTAGAAGTGCTCAAAACATCAGGCCTCAAACATGGGAGCAAAACCACTGGAATTAACTATGGTAGAAGCATTTTGATGGCACTTTACAATTTAGTAATATTGTCAACAGTATCCTATCTAGCATCTATTCATTATGGTAACACTTTAATTATTGCATCAAAGTGTTTGCAGAAGGGACAATAATAATTAAATGCTTATGTTGAAAGCTTTACATATGTCTTGCCATATGATCCTCACAACCGTCCCATGGAGTTTGGACCTATTAGTATCTTCACTTAACAGGGTAAGAAACTGAGGGTCAGAGAGGTTAAGTGACTGTCCAGTGTCACATAGCTAGTGGCAGACTGGGATTTCAGTTCCAGCAGTCCGACCTCAGAGCCTGCATTCTTAGCCTGTACCCTTAGAGTTGATAACTAGCTTGGGTGTCTCAAAGGCACTTCAGATTCACTTTAATTCAAAACTGAACTCATGAACCTTATCCCCCGGCACCCTCACCTTGGTGTTTTTTATGGTTCTCTGTCTCATTGAATGTCATCTTCTTTTCATCCAATTGCTGAAGCCAAAACTTTATTAGACACTCCTTAATACCTCCTTGCAATGCATTCAGTCCTCAATCCAGTCAATCATTAACTCATTTTACATTTACCTCTTGAATAGCTCTTGAGTCCTTTCACTTCCTTCTACTTCTAACTCAGCTAACCTCAGCCAAACCTATTATCTGTTGACTGGACTGCAGCTTGTGCCTGGAAGTGTCTAGCCCTGTACACTTTGGCATGGTCTCCAAATATAGAAACGAATCCTCCCCACTGGTTGTATATGTGTGTTTATACAATACTTAAAACTCTCTCAATGGTTACTCCTTATTTTTTAACAGGGCCTGTAATGACACTGTCTGGCTGGTGCTGACCTCTCCTCTCATTGGGTACTCTTCTCTTCCTTCTGGCATGACTATTTTATGATTTCTCCTATGTTGTTCCTGTCTGTAATCCAGCACCCACCTCTCCCCCAATACTCATCTTCCCAATCTCAACTCAGATTGCACTGTCTTGGATAAGCTTTCCCTGACTATCCCTGTTTGCCCCCAGACCATATCAGTTCTGGTTACAAATTACTGTAGCACCGTTCAGAGCATGTAAAGCATTTTGAATTGTATATTTCTATGATTTTTTTTTTATTGATGTTTGTCTTTCCTTTTTAGACTATAGTTCCTTGAGGGCTGAGCGCCATAATGTGTACTCAGTACATTTGAATGAATTAATATCTAGTCTTAACCACTTGGTTTTCTTCTGAGGAAACTAAAGCATGAACAGTGTAGCAAGTCTCATTTTTCCTTCAAGTGTGGAGTTAGATTGCTATTTACTAGCTGAAGGTAGTTATTTAACCTCCTCAGGTCCCAATTATTTTATCTGTTCCACAAGGATAAAAACAGTACCTACCTCTTAGGTTGCTTTGGGGACTACGTAAGTCAATAAATGTAAAGCGCTTGGGAACAGTGTTCAACACATAATAAAGGACTCAATTAGTGGTAGCTGTTGTCATTAGTATTGGGACCTACCCAAGGTCATTCAGCTGTTTAATGCAGAGCCTGCCCTAGAAACCAGTTCTCCTTCATGATTTTCTCCTTACTGAGATCATTGGGAATTCTTGTAAATTTATTCTGCTATGAGCTTAAGTTCGTTGAAAAATGGGTTTGAGCAGTTTCTTGCATAGAGAAGGCACGCGCACATTTTGTTGTCTTTCGTTTAACCCAATTACAAATAAGGATTACCCCTTTCCCTCAACCCCCCCCCCCCCGCCCACCTCGCCCCACCTGGTGGAAGGCATTTTTGTTATACAAGGAAAATTTGAGTTTCCTTGGGGAACAAGAAGGTCGGGTACAGGTTTTAGAGGACTTCGAATATCAAATTAAGGTCTTTGAACTCGGGTATTTTGGAAATAAGAAATAAAGGATTTTAAACGGGGTGAATTCTATGCATGGAATTGGTTTTAGAAAATTGATCCGACTACAGCAATTGGAATGGGAGGCTGGATTTAGATGATGCTCTCTGATAAGATTAGGGAAGTTAGGAGGGAGAGCTTGGCTTTGTAGGAGAAAGAATGAACTTCCTATAGATTCAGGTTGAATTGCTTTTTGGAGTTCTAAGTGGAGGTGGCTTCAGGTTAAGTACATGGGACAGAGCCAGGAGAGAAACCTAGGATGAAAATACTGAAAGCTATGTAGTAGGACAAAAAGAGTATTAACGCCTGGTGTACTAGCAAAAAAGCTGATCCCACAATGCTTGCCTGTGAGAAGGAATTGTTAGCTATTGTGTACTTCTGTATATATGGAAGATAAAAAACTATATTTTAAACAGTATTCTGTAACTTAGAATTTTCACCAGTAAGCGTGGCCTTCAACCAGTTAGTCTGATTTAATGATGTAAAATTTAGTAAAATGTGGCAGATTACCTTGGTGGTGTTTAAGGAGAGAGGAGTTGAAGGGAACATGCTGTTATAAAGTTCTTCTTTAAAAGGCTGTAGAAAAGTGAATATTAGGCATCAGATTGATTTTATAAATATATATACCACTTCTTCAAAATTATGCTTGAAAAGGAAGGTAAACATGCAAATTAGGGTAAAGCTCTTGAAGTGAACCTCAAGGTGGTAGTAGATTCCTAAATCCCAAGTCAACTAGCTGTGTATACGGGAGTCTGTATCCTGAATACGTCACTAACTCAAATGACTTTTTTTTTTTTCCCCTTAACCAGGAATTGTGGTGCTTGGAATAAACAGAGCTTATGCCAAAAATTCATTGAGTACAAATCTTATAAAAATGGTGAGTGTAAAGATTAAACTATTTGCTTCTAATATTAAGATACAGTGTTGATATCAATCTGAAAATGATTTTTCCCCCTTTTCCTTCTTACCCTCCCTGTTTCTGTTTAGCTTTCAAAAGCTGTGGATGCTTTAAAATCTGATAAGAAAGTACGGACCATAATAGTCAGAAGTGAAGTCCCAGGGATATTCTGTGCTGGTATGTAAATAGATTCAATTTTAAAACGAGTCTAATTTTTCCTTAGTAGTAGCCTATTTTCCATTATAAAGTGTTCCGTGGTTTGAATTCCATTACCAACAATTCCTTTTTGGTTTTTTTTACTCTTTTACAAGAAAAAAAAATGCTTTGTCAGTATTAGAAAGAAACCTTTGTTGCATGTGGAAAAGTTGTTTTGGAAGTGGAAAAGTTGTTTTGGAAGTTGAAAAATAATTTGAGCCATTAAAATATATGTTTGTAGTACATGAATAATATTTATGAAAGATGAGCTGTGCAGGAAAAATCACATCTCCTACTCACAAGTGTGCTCTGTATTAAAAAATGCTTTAATTGACTAGCAGTAGCTACCCCAGTATGGAATGTTAAATATAGACATATGCTTTCGTGTTTGTAGTAGTGCCCACTCAAGTATGTGTCCACGAATTGTACTTTTAAATTGGTATCTACAGCAGCGAAATGTTTTTTCTGCTTGTACTGTGTTACCAAAAGCCAAAGATTAAGTTGTCTTGCATTTTCCATATTTGTAAATATTTCTAAGTCATGAGATTGAATGAATCTGTTTCAATTAGTCAAAAATGTAGATGATTAAATGATAAAAGATAAAAAATGCTGACAATATACCGGATCATTATAATTTACTAATAAGCAAATGAAGGCAGACGTTGACTGAGGCGTAAAAACATTTTTTTCAGTAAAAATATAAATGGGATAATCCATTTGAGATAATCAGACATTTGAGGGAACAACATACAGTATTTTATTCATTCAACAAGTATTTTTTGAGCATTTAGAGTATACCCAGAGCAATGCTGGGACTTGGAGGAGTATTTCCAGACAGAATGTTTTTAGAGGTGTCTTAGTTGAGGCTGATGTTCTTCAGTTTCATTGTTAAAGGTCCTCAGATTTTCCAAGCTTCGAACTCCATAGCTTCCACCTTAAGATATTGCAAAATTTTATGGTATTTAGGAACATTCAGTGTAAATGAGTTATATTTTAGCTTTTGATATAATGTACCATACGTAAAAGGATTAGTTTTAACTTGTTTGGCAGTCAAAGAGAGTAGGATTATTATGCTCAACTGCCTGGGTGAGACAATTTGCAGTACAGTCTTCTGCTTTTACATCTATCCAACTCGAGTAACACTATCCTCCTGGTAGGATTGTTGGAGGCTTGATGTGACAATGTACATAAAACACAGTGCAGTAGTCAATAAATTATAGCTGTTAATAGTTTTTATAAGGGCTTTACATATATTTAAACATTTTTTCTTAAACAGTATGAAAAACTTACACTGAGAGAATTAGAATTCTTGTATCTGTGACCTTAGGATCAGGTGACTGGGTGACTGAGTCTAACTTCGTGACCAGTGGCTCTGAGGTCACTGCACTCAGGTCCTCTGAGGGCTGGTGAGGGGCTTATTGGGAAGATGTTGAGCAGTTTGGGGGCTTTTAAGGAAGGCCCAATTATGTGAATGTTTGAGGAGTGATAGTGATAGTGGCAGAATAACGCTTAAGAAAGAAGAGTTGATTATAACTAGCAGTACTGTCTTTCTGTTGGTAATGGGTTTTGTAATTATAACACTATAATGACTGGTAGAATTCTTCTTGTTTTACCTATTCCTTTGCTGCCCATTGGTTTTGTGTCTCCACATTACCGATGTTCTTTGGAAAAGGCTTTAATGCTTTAGCACAGTTTACAACTATCTTTTATAGGTTGCCTTTTTGGGGACATACATAATATACCAAATGCTTTATCAGATTAACAAATTAGCCTTGAATACTTTTTTCCAAGGGCTTATCAAATCTATTTTCTTTGTTCTGTGTGCTTTTGCATGATCAGGATAATTTTTTCCTATGTTTTAACATAAGATTTTTTGCCGTATTTTGTCCAAAAAAAAGTGTGAATTATAGAAAAATTGGGGCAAATCATTTTAGTAACTTAGAGTATATAAATAAAACCATTCTTTCAAATTTCTCTGAAAGATTTTCTTACGTATATTTGAAACAGGCAGTTTAGTATGTCTGTCTTTATTAATATTTTATTAATATTATATTTAATATTAATATTTATTAATATGTACACATTAAGTATATTGTATGTTTAGATACACAGAATCTCTTTACATACTTAAAACAAATATTTAAACTTATTATAGCCTATAAAAACAGTAGTATAAAAATTCTAATATTTTTTCTTTTGACATTTGTTTTCTTTTATCAACACAGATGTCAGTTTCTTTTTTTTTTATACAGCAGGTTCTTATTAGTCATCAGTTTTATACACATCAGTGTATACATGTCAATCCCAATCACCCAATTCATCACCCCCCCCCGCCCCCACCGCTTTCCCCCCTTGGTGTCCATACGTTTGTTCTCTACATCTATGTCTCAGTTTCTGCCCTGCAAACTGGTTCATCTGTACCATTTTTCTAGGTTCCATATATATGCGTTAATATACGATATTTGTTTCTCTCTTTCTGACTTACTTCACTCTGTATGAGAGTCTCTAGATCCATCCACGTCTCTGCAAATGACCCAATTTTGTTCCTTTTTATGGCTGAGTAATATTCCATTGTATATATATACCCCATCTTCTTTATCCATTCATCTGTTGATGGGCATTTAGGTTGCTTCCATGACCTGGCTATTGTAAATAGTGCTGCACTGGACATTGTGGTGCGTGTGTCTTTTTGAATTGTGATTTTCTCTGGGTATATGCACAATAGTGGGATTGCTGGGTCATGAATACCAGTGATTTTTAATCTTTCAGGGTATGAGGTCTCCTTTTTAAGTTCTTAAAATTTCATGCACTTATACATTGTAGTGGTCCTATGTTGATTGAGAAGATGTGTAATGTCAGAATGCCACTTTGGTTACAGTAATGTATTTAAATGAATTTTCTTTTACTAACCACAATGATAATCTAGATACAGAAAAATTTGTATCATAGTTATCATGGCTGTAGACGAAGTTTTCTATACATATATGCTTTCAGATACCATTCCATACCCTAGGCATGACTCCAGGTTGGGAACTGATGTTACATTTTCTTTCTTGTGGGTTCGAACATTGCTTTGGGGTTTTATAGCTTACCTATACTTCTCTTAGAATGCTGAGAAATATCATTTTGATAGTCAAAGCTCATTGTGGAGCACTGGCTACATAGATTGTATTAGAGATTGGCCTGCATGTGCGCTGTCTCCCCTGCATACTCTAGAAATTATTTTTTTATTCATTTAAAATTTTTATCTTGTTTTTTACATACTCACAAACACATACACAAAGAAAAACTGAAATAATTTTGCTATTTCAAAATATTTTGGAGTCAAAATTTTAATATATTACCTATAATGAAATTATGAAAAAGACCTTTTGACTAGGCTATTGCATTGTAAGTAAACATTTAATCCTAGTCATCTGTTTATTTTTGTTCTTTCAGTGTTCTAACGCTAAGTAGCAAAGTAGATATGTATTGCTTTTATCATGAAAATTTTATGAGAAATTTCTGAGATGGAGGATTTTTTCTCTTGAAATTCCTGAAATAGAGTATAAACAATTCTTGGTAATTGGTTCCTGTGTGTAGAACTCTAAATTGAGTGTTTCACTGAATTATACTAGTGTGGGTTTTTTTAAAAAGTAAAGGTACTTTTGCTTCTGCTTTTGAGTTCTAGTAAATTATGTTCTGACTAAAAACTTCTCACTAAAATTGTCAGTGTGCTTTATTGAATGTTGTATTGTTCAAATGGATGTAGATGTCATGACATGGTTAGATATATGGAGGCCTCTGACTAACAAAGTTATCTAGTCAGTATTGTTTCAGAATCTTAGGTTAAGTTACATTTGTATATTTGAATGTTAGTCCCTTAGAGAGTTTGATAAGTAAACGGAAAGGATAGATAATCCACAAATTTGTATTAGTTTAACATAGGGTTCTTTTCTTGGAAATAAAAAAAAATGTGTGTTATAGAGGTATGAATAACTTGCAGTAAAATGTACCAGTTTTAGTACATATGTAATTGATTAGTTTTGACATGTTTAAACCATGACGACAGTTGTGATATAGAACATGTTTATCCCTTAAAAAGCTTTCTTTTTTCTTTTTTAATTGAAGTATAATTGACCTATAATACTATGTTAGGTCCAGGTGCACAGCATAGTGATTCATTCTATCTATATACAGAATGATCACCATGGTAAGTCTAGTTACCATCTGTCACCATACAGTTATTAAATATTATTGACTGTATTCTCCGTGGTATACATTTCATCCCTGTGACTCATTTATTTTGTAACTGGAAGTTTATACCTCTTAATCTCCCTCACCTATTTCATTCATCTCCCTACCCTCAGCCCCTTTGGCAACCACTTGTTTGTTCTCTATCTATGACTCTATTTTTGTTTGGTTATGTTTATTTGTTTTATAGATTCTACATATAAGTGAAATCATGCAGTATTTTTCTTTATCTAACTTATTTCACTTAGCATAATGCCCTCTAGGTCTATCCATGTTCTTGCAAATGGCAAGATTTCATTCTTTTTCATGGCTGAGTAATACTCTGCTGAACATACAGGTATATGTGTCACATTTTCTTTATACATTCATTTATCAGTGGACACTTAGGTTGCTTCCATATCTTGGCTGTTGTAAATAATACTGCAATGAACATATGGGTGCATATATCTTTTTGAATTAGTGTTTTTGTTTTCTTTGGAAGGATACCAAGGAGTGAAATTGCTGGATGGTATGATAGTTCTGTTTTTAGTTTTTTGAGGAACATCCATACTGTTTTTCATAGTGGTTGCATGAATTTATATTCTCACCAACAGCGCACAAGGGTTCTCTTTTCTCCACATTCTCACCAACACTTGTTATTTGTTTTCTTGTTTTTTTTTTAAATAATAGCCATTCTGACAGGTGTGAGGTAATAGCTCACTGTGGTTTTGATTTATGTTCCCTTAATCATTAATGATTTCATGGATCTG